TAGAGCCTTGGCTGCACTATAGATCATTTGTCGACGGGACATACCAGTGAATGCCACATGCCAATCGGTCCTGTTGACATTCAGCGAAGTCTTCTCCAGCACTTCCCCCACCGTCACCAATAGGCCAGACCACCTCAGGTTATAGTCCTCAGGAGTAAGATTCTGAGCCTGTGTAATAATATCAGATGAAATTATTCAATTAATGAGGTAAAAGGTCAGATTCTAAAATCCTTGCCTTCATTAGTACGTTATTTGGACAGTAGCCCTATTCATTCCAATGGGTTCACTTGAGAATAAGAAATATGTGAAGATTGAAAGTCCCCAAATCTTAGTTCTAAAAATTTGTCTCTTGGTAACTGGATACTTGGTCCAGTCAATGGGGCTTTTTAGAGTTCCACATATTATGTTCCTAGATGACACTAGACATTCCCAAGACTACTATGCAGTTTGCCTAGTAACAAAGTCACCCTGGCATTACCACAAAGTTGTATTGAAAAAGCTGCCAGCCAGATGTAATCAATAAGGATATGTGTATTTATAAAATGATTTTCATCTTTAGAGGGCTTTAAAAATGTCCGATCCTTAAAACAGCCCTATGAAACAAGTACATGCTCTATCTCAATAAGGAAATGGAGGATGTGATTGTAAGTTATTTGCCCAAGAACAGAGAGGGAGCCCACACCAAAAGAAGGGTTAGAACTTGGCACAGAACTGGAAATCAGATGCCATGTGGGCATTGGTTTTATAATTCTGTATTACTACACTGGACAGCTTCTTTATGGATAAAGTGCACTTACTGGGTTGTTTCTCTGCTACGCACTACTAACCTCGGATACAACATCCTGCAAATGGATAGTGGAATGTCAAGTGAAAGATGACAGTAATGAGTGGTTCAACAGCAGTCCAAGGGGACAAATGGCTTATCATCCCTGTCAGGAGCAGACTTGTTCAAAATGAGTCATGCAAAAATGACCTGCATAGACATGTAGAGGGCACTAGACACAAGTCATAGAACAAAGCAAATATGAAGGAACTCTTAAATACATAAATAGGCAAGGAAAAGGACAGATTTAGCAGAAGGAACTGAGCAAATAGAAGGAAGCACAGCTTTAAAGCAGTGGGAGAGATAAACGGGTTCTTTCATACATGAACTAACCCATAACATCAAATTGGGATAGACAAGGTAGTTTTGTTTTTTTTACTTTCAGTTAATTAAGACATGTTGAACTGAATTGATGGAAACGCTGTATTTCGAGCTACTGTTATTGGACATCCACAAGAGAAAAAATCTGATCCTTTAAATAAATGCTTCAGTATTGGGTCAAGAGCAACATAAACATAGCCTAGGACTGTTTTTTCATGGATGGATTATATTGCGAGCAGAGAAAACAAAAGTCCTAAAACTATAAAGCACAAAAGGTGGACATAGTCCCTTTATATAGGAAATTAAGAGTTATTTCTGTTGATTACAATACAATGCAAGCTTAAAAGTTTACACTCACTCCTACATAGTGTCCATATACCATATCAAGTGATACTGAACCTGGTTAGATACCATATTTACTTGAATACAAGATGAGATTTTCCCTCCCAACTGGCATGGGGAAGAAAAGGCCCTCATCTTATAATTGCATATAAGGAAATCTCACTAAATATGTTATCTATCATTAAACTGCTGCCAAAAGCAGCATATGCTCAGCAATGGAAACCCGTTATAAAGTTGATTAAATGTAGCCAATACTGAGCATGACAAACACATGGCCCACACTGGGCAAACTTTTTATTTTTAAGGAAAATTTTTCATATCCCAGGTCAAATTAGCGGAATCAGCCAGATCAATTTCAAATCCTTTTAATTGTTCAAGAACTGTATATGGCAAGTATCTTCCATCCCACACTTTTCAGTCTGGGGCTTCAGATACTTCTAAATCTTTTGGCAGGCATCCTATGTGCAGACCCAAACCCAGAGGCTTGGGGTTGAGATGCCCCCATGTTTCACTTGCTCTCAGCTGTATGGCTGCAGGAGCAAGCTAGGGAGGAATCTCCCATTTCCACACAGATGGCATGTAGCCAAGATCCTCCCACTGGAAGCCGGCCAGTGGGAAGCTAACTATAAGGCTCTCGTAGGGAGTCCTGTCCACATGCAGACAAAGATGCACCCTCTACTACACAGTGCCATTTTAATTGCATTCCCTTGGTTATGGTATTTCCCCTGCCCACACTGGGCAAACATGGTAGGTTTTGTTTGTTTGTTTGTTTGTTCTGTTTGTTTTTTTTTAAAGAAAATTTTGTGTCCCAAGTCAAATCAGCTAAATCAATTCCAAATCCACGTGAGTCATTTCCATAACCATACGTGGCCCTGCTACCGGCAAGCATCCTCCCTCCGCCTGGGGCTTCAGATACTTCCAAATCCTTTGGCTGGCATCCTATATGCAGGCCCAAGCCCAGAGGCTTGGGGGTCAGATGCCCCCAATTTTGCTTGCCCTCAGTCGTACAGCCACAGGAGCAAGCTAAAGAGAAGGCTCTGGCTTTAGACTAATACACAGTACAAACTATACACGATAATAATAAGTAGGTGCCAAAATGCAGCTCAAAAGTGTGTTTATGGAGGACTTGTGCTAAAACTTGCAGCAGTTTTAGAAAAAGGTTTGATTCTGGATTAACTAAGTACATGAGTGCTACAAACAAATTGCTACAGCCATGCTTAATTTCAAGGTTATTGTTTTCAAATTTGCCCCTCACTTCCCTGTTCTCAGAGAGAACAGGATCTGTCAATAAGGAGTGAAGGAAAGGTCTGCTGGGGGGTGGGAAGCAGAGAGCAAAGGGGCTACCTGACCTATTCCCCACCCCCAATTTATTTTCTCTGCTGTAGCAGTGTGAATGGGACAAATTCAAGGCAAACCTCCAATACACTAATTAGATTCTATACCTAGAAAAATTATAACAATTTTATAAAATTTTCCATATATAGAATCTAATTGGGGAAAGGGGGGGGGGAGAGGGTCATCTTATAATCAAGGCTGTCTTCTATTAGAGTAAATACCATATATCAATTAAGCAGATCCATTTATGAAATCTTCCTCGTCAACCCCTGCTATGCAGTAAATAAAACTTTTCAAAGCCTGAAGTCTTTTAACCTAAGAAGGAATCATACTACTTGAATCTATAATCTGGTCACAAAATCGTTGGATGCAGGTGTCACGTTAGACGTAGTCTTTCTGGACTTTAGGAAGGCCTTCAACAACTGTCTCTCACCCCAATCTCATTAAAAAATTAGGAGATTGTGGTGTCAATGCCTACACAGTCAGATGGGTCGCCAGTTGGCTGGAGGGCTGCACCCAGAGAGTAGTGGTGGGCGGGTCATTTTCGACCTGGAGGGATGTGGGCAGTGGGGTCCCCCAGGGCTCAGTCCTCAGGCCTGCACTGTTCAACATCTTCATCAGCGACTTGGACGAGGGGGTGAAAAACACCTTGTTCAAATTCTCAGATGACACTAAGATGTGGGGGGAAGAGGGCAAGCTAGAAGGGAGGGACAGGCTGCAATTGGATCTGGACAGGTTACGGGGGTGGGCGGATGGGAATAAGATGGGATTCAATACTGACAAGTGCAAGGTACTGCACCTAGGGAGGAAGAACCAGCAGCATACCTACAGGCTCAGGAACTCCCTTCTCGTCAGCACAGAGGCAGAAAAGGATCTTGGAGTCATTATAGACTCCAAGATGAACATGGGCATATATATTTTTATAAAGTGGAAGAAATAGTTATTTTACTGCATATTAGAATAATAAATGTTGTTTCAAAGAGACTGTAAAGCTGTAATAAAGAACAGGTGGGTATCCTAGCTAACATGGCCAGGGAGCAAAAGACAATGAGAACTTCACCCACTGAAGCTAGTAGTACATTTTTCCTCCAGCTTTGTGTTTCCTTATTCTTTGAGGAAAACTGAGTAACAATGTTGCATTTTTTCCTTTAGCATTTCTATAATTTTTATAAGGTTGAAGAACTTCTGAAAAAAGTTAAAAATGTAAAAAAACAAAAACAGCAACAAAAACTCCACACACCACAGACATTCTACTGGAATTCAGAAACAAGTACACAGGAATTTGGGATTTAAAAGAAACTGAAAGTTAAATGCCAAATCAACTGTTTTGTTTAGAATATTTTCATGGGAAATTTTCTAAAGAAAAAAAAGTTATGCCAGGTCCAGCTGTAATTTATAGATTGCAACCACTGCAGGGGACTGCAGAATTGGTGGGAAAGCAGAGAAAAAGGTTCCAATGAAGACTAAACAAATTCTTATCCTTTACATCTTACAAAAGCTAGGTAATATTGGACCACCGTTGATGAAATGAGTCAAGACATTTCATCTTAAACCCTCAAAAGGACCTTCCCACTGGAGATGCATCATTGACACTCCCTTCCTTTATTGAAATACCAGAGCCCAAAAGGAAAAACTGCCTCACCCTTCAGATTATTTAGATGGCAGCAGTCTCGCTGTCACTAGAAATAGAGTTTTATTTTTCTAGTGATTTTCACCTACTGCACAATGGTGGTTTTTACTGAAAAACTGACAGCCTGTTGCTAGTTGTTGTATATTAATAATATGCATTAATATTAGGACAACCGTAGTAAGGCTGGGAACTGAATCCAGGACTGCCACATCCCAAATTTCCTGGATCCAAACTATACCTCAAGTTATGGGAAAGGATCCATTTTATTGGGTTTTTTTAAAGTTACTTTAGATTTGGTAAGGATTGCCTCAGAGGCTCTTCTTTGTTGGGAGTCCAGGTTAGCATTTTTGTGGGACAAGCATGGTTAATCCCACTGGCTAATTGTAGTATGATGCCAGAGCTACAGTGCCATGAACGCACAACTCAAAGCTTTGAAGTTATCAATAAAGAAAGAAAAACTTAAAAGGAAGATTAAATATGTGCTAGATACACTAGCTCCCACTCCGTGATGTACAGTGTAAAGGCAGACCCCTACGGTTGCATTTCTGGTAAAAGCCATGGGCCTCTATGCTGGCTCAGGGTTTTGCCTATTTACAAACTGCATAAGAGGAGCAATAGCTTGTGATGCTATTCCATTATGCTCAATACAAAAGCAAGTCTGTTACAATTCAGAAGCTGCTGTCACTCTCTCGCAATCACTAGGAAGAAAGAGAAAGATACTGAATCAGCATTAAGCTGTATAGCTTATTTTAATCATTCATTTTTTCCAAACATTCCATGTTTCTTTTACTGAAAATATTTCAAACATTTAAATAATTTTTCCTGGGCTCAATGCAGAGTTTTTACAGTATGCCTTTTGTCAGTAGTTCTTCAGTCTAAATCAGCTAGAAAACTCTACAAGTAACTACAATTTTTCTGGATATATTGAATTTTAAATAAATGAAAACCACTTTGAGTCCTAATTATCTCTAAGGGTATTTATAAATATCGACCATCACAGCAGTTTTCATTTAGATCTTACCTTCATCTTATAAATAAGAACTGAAGCGAAGAGATAACTGCCTCATTCATTAGTATCATTCATGATATTAAATCAAAGGAAGTCCTGGCTCCCAAAACTCACGCTATTAAATCACTCTTTGATAAGAAATGCAGAAAACTTACCTGTTGAACATATTGTAAAGGCACTGGTGTTGCTTGGGTGAAAGTTTCTAGATGAATCCCGTGGACTGGATCTTCAATTATCAGACAGCCAATGTCAAACCACCTGTAATGGCATACAAATTACCTAACCTTTAAGCAGTAAACTGAAGAATGCAGTGTTGTCAAGGATGGGTCTTCAATTTACAGGATGTTGCAGAGTATATGTATGAAACTATTATTTGCAATAAAGAATCTCATGGGTACATTTTGATATTTTACAACTAGAGCCTATAAAAAGCCACTGCTCTATTATATAAACATAGGTAACTCACCATTCACTGAAAAAAATAAATCAAAAGGAACACCAGTAGGATATATATTTGGACATATTAGCTATACTGTAATTTTCACAGTGTCTTCATAAAACCGAGGTTTTGTTCTTAAGTCAGCCTTCTTTAAGCCCATGGACAAAGTTAACATTTAATCACTGTGAAAAGGGAAGGGAAGTTGCAGGTTGGGAGCACACACCACCTGTTACACTGGTATGCTCCTATAATGATACAAGTTAGCTAAATACGTGTAGGTTTAACCTGGAATTAAACAGTGTTACAGTTTCAACATTTACTACATTTGTATCCTAACAGGGCAATGGTTCTAATAGCTACATTGTAACAGCTTACATCAATAATGACTTGATATAATTGTTAAATCTGGTTACTCACTCAATAAAAACCTGCATCTCACTCAAACTCACAAAATTAATCCCATTTGTGGAGATATATTGTATACTCACATGAATTCACAAAAAAAGTAACTCTAGGTGTATTAAAACCAATTATTTAATGTGTTAATTGAAAAGAACAATTAGACAGTTTACAAAAAAAATATGGAGCACACTCCATTAAAGTACACAGGGCCAGCATCTAAACATTTTCCTCATCTGGTTTGTAGAGACTAAAAGATTTTTTCCTAGCAGAAAATGAAGGCTGACATATTGTCCCTAACTCATGTTTATTTAATTCTCACAACTGTGTCTACAGTTAAATGGTTCCAGCTGAGAGAATAGGGCACAGGAGCTGTTAAATCAAGTTTAGAAGGATTATTGTGGTGTTTTTTCTGATCTTTACTTTGGAAGAATGGATGTTGTTGCTATGAAGATTATGTAAAGTCGGGGTTGTAGTCTGGAAGATTCAGACTGCAGGAACCAACTAGCTGGGCCAATTTTGCTTCACGCAAGGGTAAGGTTAATAAAGCCAGCCAGGACAGGACTAGCACCTACTACCTCCTTGATAACACTGCTTTGGGTTCCTGGTCTAAAAAGGTATAGGGGAGGGAAGGAGTTTAAAGGGGATGTAACAGGGGACCACTCTTCCATATAAGCATGTAAGAATGCTGAGCAAGTTACCTTGAATTGCGAACAGCCAAATAAGGGAGGTGAAAAGTATATTTATATAGACCCAATAAACTGGGTAGAGATTCAATGCCACAAATACTGCTAGCAGAAGTTAAAAGGGGTAGCAATTTTCCTTCCTTTCCAATTGCTGCAATATGAGAGGGGAAAAGTTCATATTGACCAAAATAAAGTTTTAATGAGTGGCTCTCTTAGCAAGTGAGGTACCAGAGATTGGTGGGAGTTCACTGGAAGGCTCCTCTTTTGTGGGATTAATGGATTTGCAAGACAACTCTGGTTAACACCCTGGACTGTGACATGCTGAAAAATGATACCTTGATGAGCTATATATCCAAGGATACACATTTTAATATTATATGTCTACCAGCACCAAGTTCTATTATTTTCACAATGTTAGAGGCAAGAAGAGGCCAGAAGGAACTAGAATATCTTTAGTCTACTATATAGAGAGACTTTTAATATTCCCCTTTCAGTAAAAAAAAACAAACAAACAAACTTATACATAAAGAATAATTTTGCTCTTGTAAAGTACTAGGGCTCATTCATTCGATCAGGCTTTGCTTCAGTTACAATGACAGGCCAGTAGAATATTCCTTGTACCTGTAAGTATGCAAAACCAGCTCCCATTCTTAACAACACCGCAGTCCTGGGTCATTGTGAGCATTATACAGACTGCACATACAAAGATTTAGGAACAGGTAAATAGAACAAAAAGTCTTCTTTTTTTTGCTGCACCTGGGGCAAATGTCTCCTGCATAACTGATTTTTTATTCAAACCTTCTCTGTAGCAATAAAACATCTAAACCAAAAATTAGATAAAATAAACATACCCGCTTATTCTGCTGCCTTTTATGTTCACTGAATGTATGAAATATATTTTGCTCCATTCAGTTAATATTGGGTTAAATAAATAAGGAAGGATGCAAATTTTACATGTGTATTTTATGTTTGTTTAAGAGATGCCTATTTTCTAAATTAAATACATTAAGGCCTAAGAAGTAGGCCCTAATGCTTCTGACAATGCACTACAAAATTAATCAACAGTAATCTGTTAGCTCCACCTTTCCTTTGATAACTTATTAAAACTTGAATTCTAAATGGAATCTCTAAAATAGAAGCGTTTTTATAACTTCCTAGAGTTGCAAGTATTTTAAAAAGTAACTGAAAATGAACCTCACTTGAGAATACTGTCAATTAGTAATGAATAGAAATACCTCAGTGTACCACTACAATGCCAGTAAGTCTGCTAATACACTCTCCAAATGAGATGTCATTTCAAAAACAGAACAAGCTATCAAACTGGAACACATAAAACTCCCTCACTTTTGACAGTTAGCTGCCCTTGTGTGTCATGCTTTTAAACTTTGAATCCCAGTACATCTGACAGATTTTAGCTATTAGTGAACTTATACAGCATTTTGAAATTGTGCAGTCTCTTGTCCAAAGCAAAGTCTGCCAAGGCAATATCATATACCGACAACTTCCCTCCTTTTATCTTTTGAGAAGGATACTGCTAATAATTCTTTATGGACTACCTGAACCCAATATAGAATGCTCTTTTTTGCTCCCAACCTGAATAAATTAAAGCTTCTCACTTGTCAGGAAGCAATTCTGCGATGAAATTTTCTACAGACACAGCAGGCTGTTTCTCATGTATCACTCCAGTCCGACGCAAGCTGTCTATCCTTTCCTGTGCTCCCTAAACGACAACATAACAAGCTCTTAGAGAATGTTCTGAAAAAGCCAAAACATAGCATAAAAAAAAAAATGGAAGAATGTAACCTTTAACCTCCAAGATAAACCACAGACATTATACAACACCACAGGAATTTTAACAATGCTTAATATTTGGAAATAAAGCTCTGAAATTCCAAAAGTTTAAAGAAACTATGACAAAACACTTATTTTAGATTTGTCTTTCCATATTATGAATCAAGTTACTCATTTCCCAAGAAAAAGTTTTGTATTTAAAGAAATTTAAGATTCCCTTACTTTTAAACAGTGCTGAATTTCACTATGGTTAGTAGGTCCATAAATATTTCCATGGCTCGTACTCTCATTCTCTAGGTTTATATTTTGGTTGTGATAATCATGTTAATATATTTTGTATCAACATAAAAATGGTAGGGGAGACTCTATCCTTTAAAATGTGCAATTTATTTAGAATGTTACAACCCAAGTAGGTTAGGGGCCAAGAACTGACACACTTTGAAAATATTATAAAATGATAAATAACCAGGTATGGTTGCAGTCAGTGACCATGCAAGAAACTGCCAAAAATAATAGTTATGCTCCTTAGTTGCTTCTAATATACACCTTCCCAAGAAGACATATATGTTCTTCTAATAACAGATCTGACATGACCATAATAATAGACAACCGTGATAGACAACGATAACCAAGAAAGCTTTCCTCAATGCCCCAGTTAGGATTTTCTATGTAAATTTGTCACTCAAAAACTGCTGGTGGTCAAGATCTCCCAACTGGGCTCTCTCCATCATTATTCACCCACTTACTTTTAATCCAGCTGCATAGCCGACAGGTTGTGGTGCAATATTTGACTGTCCAGCTTCCCCAGTAACTATAGCCATTCCAAAGACTTCCTGGAAAGCATCTCGAATGGCAGCCACTTTTACTTCTTTGTTGGAGGTAACCACTATGTCCATCTCTCCTCCAGATTCTACAAAGACAAAATGATTTTGTTGAGAAAACCTCATTAAATACATTGGCTATGATTAAACTGCTGCCAAAAACAGCATGTGCTGAGTAATGGAAACCAACTATGAAGTTGATTAAATGTAGCCAACACTGAGCATTAATATAAAATGTATGACCCATACTTTTTTTTAAAAGACATTTCTCATGTTCCAAGCCAAATCAGGTCCAAATCCATGAGTCAGTTCAGAACCATGCGTGGCCCTACAACCAGCAAACATCCTCCACCCCCACCAGGGGCTTCAGATATTTCCAAAGTCTTTTGGCAAGCATCCTACATGCAGGCCCAAGCCTGGAGACTTGGGGTTCGGATGCCCCCAAGTTTTGCCTGCCTTCAGCCATATGGCCGGAGAAGCAAGCTAGGGAGGAGCCTCAACACCTTGACGGGTACTAAACCGCACGAAAAGAACAGTTATCCCCCAGGCGCTTAAGGAAAACTGCCCTCATGGACCCAGATACATGGTGTTTCCCTGCCATACTGGACAAACATAGTACAGCCCATCTTGTTACATACATTTAATGTGGCCCCACCCTCCATGAAGTGAAGTCAGACCAGATTTCTTTGCAACTTATCTGCATATAAATTTTGGAGCATCCCAGGACTAGTGCCAAGAACATCCAGTTCCAGTCATGAGTGGGGGCTAATTAATACATGTATCCTTTGTTACGGGAGGGCAGGAGGGTTATCTGGAATACACACACAGACTCCCCCATAGCAGTGTTGAGCTGTAGGGTGACCATGGTTTGAAATGCTGTTGACACTTCTGGGTCCCAGCCCAATGATCTATATGGTAAATCATGAGACTTTTAGCTTTGGAATAATATCAAGTCTAGCTTGTACTCTATATAAAGTAGGTGACAAAGTGCTGCTTAAAAGTATGTTTATGGAGTACCTGAGCTAAAACTTGTAGCAGTTTCAAAAAATGTAACTTACATCAATTGAATGAACAAAATCTTTGGGTATAAAATGCAAATTGCTATAGCTATGTTTAATTTCAAGGTCTGTGTTTTTATATGTGCTTCTCACTTCTACATGCTCAGGATGTGCTGGGTTTGACAGTAAGGAGGGGAACAAGAAGCTGAAGGAGGAAGAAGTTGTTGTGGGGGAGGTAGAGGGAAAGGGGACTACCTGGCCCCACCCCAAGATTTATTTCCCCTGTTGTTGCAATGGGATGGGCACAAATTAAAAAGACAAACCTAAAATAATTAGTTCTATATGGAAAATTACAACAAATTTATAAAATTGTCCATACATAAAATCTAAGTAGTGGGGTCATTTTACAACCAGGGTTGTCATATTTGAGTAAATACAGTAAAAACTTTTCTTTTGAGGCTCTGGCTAACTTCTAAGCATCCATGAACCATTAGCTTCAACATTATTTGAATCTTTTTTCTTGTCTCGCTAAGCATTCTACATCTTTCTACCTCGGGCTTTCTTTTTCTTACATTAATTTATTTCTAATATCCATCTAAAACTTTAAAATCTAAAAGGAAAAAGTTTCTTTTTTAAAAAGAGCTTTTGCTATAAGCACAACAGTTTGTACTTTCAGTGTAAGGTTAGAAAACTATTCCAAAAAGAGCACTACCCTCACCATGCAGCTTTTATTTAACTGCTTATGACTTAAAACAGCAGTGCCCAACCTTTTCCTACCCTCAGGCCAAACAGACAATGTACAGACCCTGTGTAGGCTGGAGCCAGGGGGGTCAGATCTGGTGCAGGAGTCATGTCCTGGGCCTGAGCTGAGCCTGCTGTGCAGGGTTTGGAAATTTGTCAGAAGGGGAAGGTGGCAGTAATGCATTTGGCCTGCAGGCCAGAGGTTGAGCACCCCTGATTTAAAAATTTTAAATTATCCTAATTTTCTCCATACAATCTTATACAAAGTCTATGACAGCACTGTCCAAAAGTTATTGTTACAATATGCTTCACTATGCAAGATCAGTTGAAAAAGTATGATGTGTTGTTATTTTCCAGTAAACATTCCTAAATTTGAAGCAATTCAGTTAGATGTCAACTTTCCATGTAAAGTATCAAATATGAAGACTTTGCACACAAAAAGCATACTGGTAAATTGCCAGTCTGTGAATCTAGTTCCTTTGAGGGCTCTTTGACTGCAGGAGTACATAGAAAATTAAGCAGCACCTTATATAGTCTTAATGCACGAGGGTCAAAGATACAGCCCAGAGCCCCATCATCTGCTCCTTGGTGCTACACTGGTCCCCGAGTCCAGAGTTGAATCACATGCTGTGGGGCTGCTTCCACAGGCTGGATGAGTGGCATGGGGCCAGCCCCACGCCACTCATCATGGGCCAGATCAGTTTGATACCCAGGTCTAATGAGTGGGAGAAAAGCAAAGTAGATAATGGATTTGAAAAACAAGTGCTGCTTACACAAGCATTACATCTAAAAAACCTGATGCTGAAGTCTACAGTATTTATTTTAATCACCACAAACAAAAGATTTTCCAGAAGAAGCATGAAGTTTAACATAAAAAAAAACCCCAACAGCAACAACATTTACCACAGCCCAAATTATTTCCAAACCTTCAATTGAAGGAATACTTCTTTATTATTATTTTAAAAAGCGGGGGGTGGGGGTTGGGAAATCACTGAAAACTTGCTACAACAGTGACTACAGAACATTCTACCAATGAGCTAGGTTTGAAAAATGATTTTTTTTAGCACGCCCATCACTGAACATTAGACAACTGCATTAAAACTTGAATAATGGCAGAACAGAAAAATACCCCAGCTGCTAAGAATATCTCTTAATTTGAATACGAAGAAATCAATCACAGGAAGAGACAGTTACTACGAACACCTAAACATTTTAAGATTCAGTGAGATTTTATGCTGGATTAAATCCTAGTAGACTGCCTTAAATGGAAGGAAATCTGCAAAGAGAAAATGGCTGAAGTACTAAAGACAACTCATTATGCACCCATTAAACTATTGTGTAGAGGGAGCTTCTAATATAAGAAACGCTACAAAGAGTATACACTGTATCTTATCATACCACAGGTGAACAGTTTCAAGGACCACCTCAGAAATGTAACTAGCTGGGTAGGAAAGAGTTTAGAGGCGCATTGCTACGCCCACTGAGCTTAGTGGAAGTTTTTCCATTAAATTAAGTGCAGTACACAGCAACAAATCATAACTGCAAGGCATGATCATTGTTCCCCTGTTGTAAACATTATCTAGCAAATAGATAGCATGTGTTCAGTCATCTTAGACATCATATAGTCCTACAGCATGGAAATAACTGTTGTGTGCGCCAAAGTTATTAAATGTGGTTCCCAGGTACTATAGCAACACAAATAAATAGTGGCTTTAACTACATGTATCGGAATTAATGTGACAAACTTGCATTTGAAATTCACCTCTGCTCCATGACTGTCCAAATCACAACAGATGCTTTCATTACATAATGCGTGCTATACATTAGTTGCAGCTACCAGCTCTGCCGATACACTATAAGGTTACCTGACAACCTCCATTGTAAGATGCTATTTTCAGTTGCTTAATTCTGTATTTCCTGAACTGTATGTAATCAATGTTTACCAGAGTTTTATATTCCCCCCTCACCCCAGAAAGTGTTTTCTTAATTTTCAATTGGACTTATCATTTACTTCACTCACAATGAGCTGCTAAGATATTGTCACTTAAACATAATAGTTTTAACATAAATAACCATCTGTCGTTTTTTAAATATTCCACATCCCTCCTCCCCAAATACTAGCAAGCAGCCAGGATCTATAGCAGGGGTGTTAAACATAGGACCCATGGGCCAGATCAGGCTTGTGGAGCCCCACCATTCAGGTCATGGTGCTGCCCCTGGGTCTGTCAAAACCACACAGGGCACAGCACATAACCATGGGGCGGGACTGGTCCATGGGCTGGATCAGGCCCAAGGTTTCTCCCACCTTTTAAATCCCTCCCCCGGGATACCAGATCTGATGGCTGCTCCAGCTGGTACAGGACCCATGCTGCATGTAGCACAAATCCCACCATGTGCTGTACAGTCCAGTTGGAGTGGCAGCTGCACTGAATGTTGTGCCCATCCTGGCCAGACTATGCCACACACACAGCTGCTTGGGGATGAATGCTGCACACAGTGCTTACTCCAGCTAGTGAACAGCACTCACAGATACTGTATGAAGCGCAGGTCCTGGATTGGCTGAAGCAGGCGCCGCATGCGGCACAGTCCTAGAGCAGCTAGGATGGGTATCTCATGTGGCTCAGTTCACCTGGGGTGGCCACCATGTGCAGCACAGCTGCCTCTCCAATCAGACTGCACTGCACTGCGCGCAGTACCCATTCCAGCTGCTCTGGGATCTGAGCTGCACACAGCACAGGTCCCAGATGAGCTGAAGCAGCTGCTAGATCAAGTATGCCTGGAGAGAGGGAGGCATCCATTGACCCAATCTAGCCCACAGACCGACCCCCATGCCACTCATCTGGTCTATGGGGCCAGATGCGATTGACATCCCTGGTCTATAGGTTCCTACCTACCCCACAATTCTATTTTGACTCCTGTAGCTTTCTGGTTTAAAGTTTTCTGTTAGCAAGAAAGAAACTTGGATCATCCAAACAGCTCTCTGATAAGTATATTGAAAATATACCATATTCCTGTCACTTCTAAAGTTCTATTCCCACCAATTAAGCAGCAATGGAAGTACTGCTGCTTTCCTCCCAGCCCACTCACACTGATCAGAAGTGCCACAGAAGTGACTGGACAGCTTTAAAGTTTAACTTTACCCATGTTAGGAATTATTTCAAAGTTCCCAAGTCAGTTTGGGAATATGACACGGCTGAAGGAGAGAAAGAAATTTTATCAGAAGTTTTATCTTTTCCTTCCCTTGCCTCAATAACCCTTTAAGTAATAATACTCTGTGGCCTTGTTAACAATCTCCAGTTTTCACTTGTTGGCATACAATGGATGGGGTGTGTGGAGCATGTTTTTCCCAAAAAAACAAAAGTAGATAGTTAACCAGAACTGTACGTGAAAAGCAATTGAGAGCTAAAAAAAGACACATTACGCTAGAATTTTCCCTTTCAATGAGGAGCAACTCCTGCACAATGTTTTAAATGCAGTATTCTTTAGCAAGGTCTTGAGCTCTGCCTCTGTCTCTTCCTCTTGTTTTTGTATTTCACTAGCGTTTCCACCAGCAACCGCAGCAAAGGGAAAACTGCCCAAAGTGTTAACAAGCAGAACATTAAAAAAAGCTCTTGCAAATATTCAGAAACACATTCTGATGAGTCTTCCTGAAGGTAACAGCATGCATATGTAGTACAGAAGCTGAACCAATATCAGGAGAAATGGAATAGTTTGGAATTGGTAAGGCACCAGACTGGGATTTTACATTCAGCTCTGCCATCAACCAACTTGCTGCATAACCTTAGGAAAGCCACTTCACTTCTCCCATGACATGTTCCCCTTCACTGGTAGCCTCTCTTAATTGTTTAGAAAGTGAGCTCTCTGGGACAGGAAGCTAGGACTTCCAAGCACTAATGTAATATCTAAACCATGCTAGGTGCTGTACACCATAGGAACAGTTCCTACACTGAAGAGTTTATTATAGTCTTAATGAGTGGGAGAAATGGATACCCTCTAAAAGGAAAACATTGAGAACCAAAGCCCACAGAGAACAGACTTGCTGAAGAGTATTGTTTACGGCAGAGCTGGGAATGAAAGCTACGTTTTCGTAAATCTCATTCTAGCACCTTTACCATGAAACTGGACTGCCAAAATTCAGCTAATTCAAAGGCTACCTAACAGAATGGATTTTTACGACTTTCCGATATTTGAGGATGTTACTGATTGGAAACACAGATGTAGAATGATCCTAAATGTAATGACTGTCACTATCACCATTACACCACTAAAAGGCAGTATTGTGCAACTTGAAATCAGGCCCCACAATTAAAATAGTCTGTCTTAACAAATACAAGATTTAGTATGTCACACTCTAGGTATTCTGTTAAATTGCCAGTTTCATTTTAAAACAACTGTACAGTTGGAAAGCTTCTTCTGGAAAGTAAGCAAACCAAATGTGGTCTGAAGTACAGTATGGTTCACACTCACCACTCTCTTGAAGTTGGTCTTACGTACTTACTGATGTAAGGAGCCATGCCAGGATCCAGCGTTGTAATCATGGTCTCTACTGAGTGTTTGGTTTTATCAAGCACAGACTTTACCATAGGATTTCCAGCAACACCCTACAGATAAACAAGAAGCATGCACTATATATCATGTTTATTCTAAAAAAATTTTTTTAAATAAATAAATAAAAAATAAAATTAAAAAAAAAAAAAAAAAAAAAAAATCAGGCATTTTCCTAAAGTCTAAAGTGGAAAAAGAAAAAAGAATAGAACCATAACACTACTACTTCCCAGCCTCCCCACCCCAACACACGCATACATGAAGACAAAAAGCTGTTTTGGATTTTCCACTCATTCAGAACAAAAAGCAGGCATCTCTAGGAACTAACCCTTTAACATCAATCTATGCCTAGGAGACAGTATTCAGATTGAAACAAAGCTATTCAAATCTAGATGACTGACAGCTGATTTTAATTTACTTGATTGCAACAGGACTATTTCATGAGTGCGCTTAAACTTAAGCACATAACTGTTTGCAGATTCCAGGGTTAAAATTGTATTTAAGAATCTCTCAAAGATTTTGCACCACTAAGAAAGTCTAAATAACTTTTAATTGTTGACTTAATCAACAATCTACTATATATTTATTGTGATGTATACGTTACTCTCTCAAACAGGTCAAAATTTTCATAAAAAAGAACCCAGAGAAATCTCTCAATGTCTATATTTAAGCAACAAAGGGTAGGGTTTTCAGAAACACCTAAGTGACTTAGTAGCACAAGTCCTATTGACTTCAAATGACAAACCCAATAAAGTTCAGTTAAAAGATTTCAAGCTCTGAATTATAGAAATTCAATTAAAAGGTTGCATTGGTTAAGACTACTTTTTTGGTGTTGATGTGCTCACAGAAAAGGGATTAGCAAAGGCCTGAGCTTAACATTTATGTAGATACTTAAGCATGAAAACTCCTCAGCTGAAAAAACATCAAAAATCCCACTAACATTTCGAAAGTGTGTGCAAAATATAACTTCTAAAGCAATCTGAGACAACAACATGAGAAGAATGCAGAGACTGGATTGGTAGTTCCTTGGCTGAGGACCCTCATGTGTACTTATGAAGACACACAAGCCCATGTATAAAAATCCTCTGATTTTCTTTTCTTCTCATTCCCTTCTACCACAAATAAGAGATCTCACTTTCATTGCACCCTAACTGAAGAATCATACTATCTGCTCTGATTTTGTCACTAATACTTCACTACTGTCTTACTATTCAAGGGTCCTAACAAAATGTGTATTAAATAACCTCTCTCTCAAAAAACAAAAGCACTGCCTGTTAAAGCTAATGCACTACCAGTATCCTTGGTCCAGAAAAGTTAGGGTTGAATTTATGCCTAGGTTTCCAGCATTAACTATTGAATGCTGTCATACTATGAAACCAGGCTACCTGAAGTGTTCAAAAGAATGCTATGAAGGAGGATCTCTTTTTGAAAAAAAAAATCTTAAAATCACAATGGGCTTTATTTTTTAATGGTTCATTACTGATGTTTTCTGAAGCAATAGAGCTGAAAGTCCTCTATTTATATGTAGTCTCCAGACAATACTGGCACAGGCCCTACATTCCTCTACCAAATCATAGGTGGAGCCGCTTTCTTCTGCATTTAAAACTGGAATCAATACGAATGTAAATAGCATTCCAAAGTCCTTACAAAGTGCCAATGTCGTTCAACAATATAATCAAACTTGGTCAAGTTTATGGGGGAAAGGAGTGAAGACACCAGGGGCATCCCTGTAACACTACTCTAGAGTAATATTTCACATGGCCTCATTAAAAAAATTAACAGAACAAACAGTTTTAAGTCCAGTTTTAGAAATTTACATGCCTAAATTTGTTTTGGTGAAAGAAAAGCATCTTATAGCACATTTTCCCTTTGTATGAACCATGTTGTTTGCTTGTTTACACAATATTTAAAATTATAAAGCAATCAGAGGAATTAACATGATAAGGTATTTTAAACTGCTGCCTTTTCACAAAATATACGTGTGTTCTATATAATCTCATAGCTGAGGTGGTAAGATGTTTAGGAGAAAATCTCTAAAGTGAAATAGCCATGAATTTGATGGTTATGAAACTGGGATAGCTGAGAGCAATTCTAAGGGACCACATGCAATGTTCCTAGTTACCAAAGGGTAACTCACTTTCCTCTTCAAATAGGTGTCAGTATGCATCCCACTACAGACATCTGGCAAGCAGTTTTCCTTCTAGAGAACAGGACTGAAGTTCCAGCTGTAACAGCAAAAACAGCACTGTTCTCCCAAATTTGACATCCAACCTGGATGCCACATCAAATGCATAATTAACAAGGATTAATTTGCTATGCAACACAGTTAACTTAATCATCTCTCAAGTATCATTTTTGAAGCATGTGAATAGGATACTTCTGCCCTGGTGGAGTGTATCTTGGTGTTTGTTAAAATCAAATCATGGTATCCAAAAGGCTTAACACCACTGCTGCTGCTCACCCCTATCATTGACTGCTACTGATTTTTGTTGCTAATCATGATCTAAAATAGTAAATTTGAGGCCAGATAAAGGAGGAGGGTGGGGGAGTGTCAAAAGGTACCTACATCTAGGGGCAACTGTATTAACCCACTGGGTACTGTCCACAACAATACAGCAGCTCTGTCAGCCACAATGAGAAGCCCCATCTGTTAGATCAGTGTTTCCTAACCAGTGTGCCATGGCACAATGCAGTGCCATTAGAAATGAACAGGTGTGCTGTGGAAATTTGCCACGGCAATGAGCTACAACGAGCTCATAAGTACAGGGATGGGGAATGTCTTGACAGGTGTGCCACAGAAAACTTTTATTAATGTAAGTGCGCCTTGGGCTGGAAAAGGTTTGGAAACACCGTGTTAGATGGCCCACCTCCATGGGCCATATGTTTGATACCCCTGACACAACACACTGCAGAAGCGTTGTCAGTAACATTACAAAGACTAGTTGAATGGCCCTCAGCCCTGTGATGTTCACAGGTTTCATACTGTTCTGAGGTCAAGCACCTTTGAGTTGCTGATGGTTTAGGTGGGTGTCCCAGCCTATTGCTGATGCATCAGTAATAGGAGTCATCAAGAAGAATGGCTCCACTTTCCTGATTTTGACAAGTCTAGCCACCAAACAAGCTCTTCTGTGACCTGAGGCAGAGTTATGATTGTTCTTTTCATGCGATATCCAAACATGGAACATTCAGACCTCAGCCATAGTTGCAAGGGCTTTGTGTCAATTTTGACATGTAATATCATGAAAAATGCAAGACACGTGGCCTAAATGTCCCAGGCACATACACCCTGATGTCATCAAAACCAACTGTACGCTGAATACCAATGGCTGAAAAGATGTGAGATTTCTCAGAATCTCCAGAGTTGTAGCAATCCTCAACAACTGCTTCTCAAGCACTGTGCTTTCTGGACTTGGTGGTGTAAGTTTCAGTGCCAGATGCAAAGCTAAATCTTTCCTTGGCTGCATCTTTTCTACATTAGTCTGATCTTTGCTGTTTACTCAAAAGGACACTAGATGGTGATGGCTTGTCCACCAGTATAACTAACTTCCTTGTGGTCAGAAGGGATCTTCAGAAACTGTTTCAAAAACATGGAATTTCAGCCTCATTCTTTGTAACTAGAATATTCTAGCAAAGAAGGGCAAACATAAAGAACACTTCCTCAGACTATATAACTTCTCTAGGCAGAAGAGACTTCGTTAATCTGTCTTTGGAGGACAAATAGAAAACTTACAGGATAGACATTTGCCACACTGAAAAGCCCTATACAAAACTGCTGTATAGGGGTAACGGAATATAATACACTTTGGTCCAGGTAAGTCAAACCAGATCTAAGAACAATGGCTCAAGCTCACCAAGTTCTCTCTAGTTGCCATGAGCAGTAAGAGGAAACCAAGTAAATCACAGATGCTCCAACCTCTTATGCCCTTGTATGAAAGAACAAAGAGACAGAAGGCAAGTGTATAGCCTCAGGCACTGCTTCTCAAGAACTCTTGAATACATGAAGTATAGGTACCCCTGCAGCGGGATCTACATTGATACATACTCAAGGAACCTGTGAAAGGTGAGATCTCTCAAGAAAGGATAGGAAAAAAGGAAAAAATTGCCTTTATAAAGCCCCACAGTCCTCCAGCAGATGCTCCACCCTGCATGTCAGCCACTCTGGGGTCTTCACGCTCCTCTGGGAAAGTAATTGCAGAGCCACTGCCAGTCCCAGAGCCCAGAAGTGGTGTAAAAGTTGCTGGCTGAGTAACAGGACTTGCCAAAACACCTGATGAACAAAAACAAAACATTCAAACACCACATTGCGAACATTCATAGGAGGAAAATAGGCAGGAACAATAGTATTCTGGGACCTTCAAGGAACAGTGCTATATGTTAAAGGCTACTCGATTTACCTGCTTATATCTGACCTGGAAGCTGATTATATAACATTTAAAATGAAAGTAAAGAATAAGAATGCCTTCTTAATCCTGACTGTTGAATAGTAACAACATACAATGAATGACTATAGTTAAACAAAAAACAACAACCAAACACACTGACTCAATTCACAGAAAAATATAGATACAAGCCAGTTATCCATTTACTACTTTCAACAGTTTTTCAGTCACCAGCCTTAGTCCAGAGTTATTTTTATTTTACATGACACAATTGACTAGTATATTCAAATATTTATAGATCTCTTCTTAATAACAGATATATACTATTGGTCATGGCTTGACCCAGTATAAACTGTGTAACCTACTTTCCATTTCACTGGAGAGGGGCAGGGGGAAAAAAACACCCAGGAATATCCCTTAAGGAACTTGGGTAATTGCTCAAATGGAAATCTACTTATTTTTAGCTAATCTTCATGCAATTTAATATCTGAAAATAAGAAACTTGAAGCCAGAATCATTTGACCAGCCAGCTCTCAACCAGACCAGCAATAATTTTGTAGTCTACTGGACTAGAGTATAATTTATTAAGTCAAAATATGTTTTGCCATACTATCATTATACAATAGTGAAATTTCCACCCTGCTCTAAGCAACATCTATATACATGAGTACAGCACAGTTTGGCTTCCTAAATCAACAACAGTCTTAACTGTCAAGATTTTTCTGAGATTTGTTCTTCATAGGGTCTCCTTAAGATGACATCCCTGTCCTAAACCATGACTTCTTTACTCACAAAATTACTTCCATTTCCCTTGAACTAACTACATGTAGCTGGTACAACACACAAGTCAGTATTTCCCTGCAGGGCTCTAACTCCAGCTGCACCCCATAATCTTTTCAGTTACAAAGTCACCACTGAGATAAACATACCCCACTAAGATAGAATGAAATAAAATATTACCTGTGCCTGTAGGTGCAGAAAAGGTTGGCATCAATGGGCTCTGTGGGGCTCGCCCAGCATGACCTCTGGTAATATCATATGTTGAAGTAGCAGAAAATCCTGAAATGGGGGGACCCACAGGAGGTGCGGAAAGGCTGGAGCCTGGAGTGCCAGATAGTGGAGGGGGTGCTGAGAAATTAGACATGGAGCTACTATAAGTTGCAGCAGCTGAAGGAGTAATCGGAGGTGGAACAGAAGTTAAAGATGGAGCAAGAGTAGAAACCACTGTAGAAGGCACAAATGGCAAAGGAGCTGAAGACATCATAGGAGGATGTGAAGGCACAGGGTGGGGGTTGAGCATGGAGAATGTTGCAGGAGGCAAAGATGGGAGAGAGGATATATTTGATGAAATGAGGGGACTGGATAAAGCTAGGGAAGGAAAAGGGCAGAGGGTTGGGGGAAGGGGGGAGAAAAAGAGAGGCACTTTAGAAGGTGGTACTTTAAAACTCCTTAGATATATCTGAATAAAATATATCAAAGTTTACTCTAGTTTACTCCCCACAAAATAAATGCATTTCTGAGTTCAACACAAAGCTGTATGTAGTAACAATTCCAGTCACTTTGTGTGACCGTCTCCTGCCAAATGATCTCTCACTTTGTCCCCCCCTACTACCTCCATTTGTCATAAGCAAAAGTACAGCAGAAAAAAAATACTTAAAGGGAAACTTCCGAAACAGGAGTCAGTTGCTGCCAGTCAGCAGGTGACACACTTTTGAGTTACCCTTGACTCAACACTCCAGCATTAAGGGGAACTGCACTGTCAGAAAGAAGTGTGCATTTGCAGGGAAAAAAAGTGTGCATCTGATATGAAAGTTTGCATAAAAATTTTCAGTTTTCTCCAGTGCACAGCCAAAATAAATAATTACACTTTTTTCCTTACTTTGATTTCACATGAATTTAGACAGAGATGATATACACCGCTATGATTCCTGAACTAAACTCTTATGGTGTACAGTAGTACTGCATTTCACCTCAGTAGCTGCTGCATTTCAGTAGTACGACTGTCTAGGACTGACATAAAATTTTTGAAACATGGGTACCTATAATATGCAAACAACCAAAAAAGCAACAAAAAGAAAGTCAAATAAAAAAGGATTACCTTAATAAAGTATAATTACACAAGATAAAGAATTAAGAAATATATGAATTTCTCACAGTATCAGGTATCTTTTTCTGAGGATCTGTCTGCATAGAATTTAAAAACTTATGTTTGACCACCATTTCAATTGGAAAAAAAAAATCCAGCAAAAGTAAACACAAACAACTTTTGTACCTTAATGTTAGCGCTCCAATTATACAAGAAAAATAGGCAATCACACCACCATTATTCCTTATTGTACTTTCATTAAGATATAAGTTCCCTTAGACAAAGAGCTGACCTAATAAAAAATAATGGTCCTTTAAAGTGGGCTGAAAAATCAAGTAACCAAATCACTTGGTGGAAGACTCCAAGTCCGATTAGGGCAGAAGTCATAGGAAAACAGATAAGACATTTATAAAAGGTAGGGGGCCACTCAAGTCCCTACAATTTCACAACCACACCTGCTTCCACCAGGAGAGCTGGCAGCATGAGCCTAAAGAGACAAGCAAGAATGCCACTTACGAGAGCAGGTGAACCCCTACAGACTTACAGAGGACAGATGAAGTCACGGCACTGGGGTATCTGCTAAATCTCTGTTCTGTAACTTTGTTTTGTTATGAGTAAAGACTGTGTATAGTAGCAGTTCCCAAACAGTGGGTTGCAACCCCAAATGGGGTTGCAACATCAGTGGATGGGGTCATAAGTGTCCCCTAGGATTTTGGCACCCACGGCAGGATGCAGGGCTGCAACTGGGCTGGCCCAGCTCTGGACAAGAGCCGCCTCTGTGGCCCAGCAGGTAGGACCCATTGTGGGAGTGAGTGCCACAACACCAGGGCTGCCAAGGTGAGTCATGGCAGAAGCATGGAGTTGTGCCCATGCTGCTGCTGGCTGAGCAAGGAGCGCCTCAGCTTGGCAGCCATGGTAGCACACCGCTCCCTCTCTCCCGCACCAGGTTCTGCCCACTGGGTCGTGGAGCCCCAGGAAGAGGGCAGCAGGGTGGGGTGCCCCACACCTGCACCTCACATCCTTCCACACCCCACCCCACCACCATGGGCTCTGCTCCAGTAGTGCTGCCCATGGAGGAGGGGAAGGGGCAGTGCAGAGCCTGCCCCCTCAGTAGCCACTGCCTCCTCCTCATACAAAAAAAACCTCGTACATATATACAGTAAAAGCTCTGTTATCCGACAACCCCCGGGGGGATGCCAGATAACAAAATAAACCAGTTAACTGAGCGGCCCTAACAGGTGTCCTTGCCTGTTTGGGCCACTGCTTCTCCCAACGTGTCCGGGGCCTGCAGGCCCCGTGGGACAGGGTGGTGGGCCCCACACAGGTGGCTTTGCCCTGGGCTGTGGGGGCTCGGAGAAACCAGAAGTGCCACGGTGAGCACTTCTGGTTTCACTTTACCTTACAAGCTGGCATGCCAGGTAATAGAACATGCCAGCTTGTAAGGTGCTGGTTAATGGAGCTTTTACTGTAGTTTCTACTGGAAAACTGATAGTTCTCCCAGTAGAAACAAAATGACCGTATGTAACCTATACCTGTTTACCTCTTCACAGATGTGGTAGCCAAAGTAAAGTGTAAGAAAGAATACCCTCGAAGTAGCAGCTTTGGAAAAGTGTGCTTTAGTAACTGAGGAATCTGGAAGAATCACAGTAGCCTCAGATCCTTGGCCAGTCTTGGATTTTGAAATGGGATACAAGAGTCTGCATCCTGAGTGTGCACCTTGAAAGAGAGAGAGACCATACGTGGACTCTGATCAGACTCAGGAAAGCTCTAATGCACCTGGGCCTAACATGCGAGGCCAGAACACAGGAACTTGGTGACTGTCCAGGAGGAGGAGCTTAAGCAGGGCTGCAACATAACTATTTCATGAGTTACAACTCAAATTGCTATTTAGAGTGTTTCTCAGCCTGACTAAGGGTTTTTAAACCCAAAAGCTTGCTAAATTTTTTTTCCAACTATTTAAGTTGCTCTAATAAAAGACATCAGATTCACCCAAAGAACCTTGTCTACAAAAAGGGGTCCTTTTTAAACTTCCCACACTGATCCCTTAAAGTCAAAATCATATTGATTGTACTTATTCCTGTTAGAAATGTAATTGTTATACTTCTTTGAAGCCAAAAAGCAATATAAAAGGAAACTCGATTGCAAATAATGACTGCAAAATCAAATTCTCAGTGAAAATTCACAAATGTAACTGGAAACAGCAAAATCATTGGAGTCAAAAACGGGGGGAAAAAACTGGCCTACAGGATAAAATGACGAGAGGTGGGGAGGGTTGAATGTCAAACCAAGTGCTTTACTTTTCCCATGCAATCATGAAAAACCTGTAGATTATCTATAGTACTATCCAACTTTATTATTACTCCCTGCAATAAGTATGGGGCACTTTTTTTCTTTTATGGTTAGCTTCTCTCTCCACATCTCTTCACCACATACTGCCCCATATCCCTTAAAAAATACTACTTCCATATACAACTCTGTGTGCAAAAAACCCCTCATATGCTTAAAAGAGTCTGCAAGTTAAGAAGCACACTTTAAAAAAAGATCAAATTAAGTTCTTCAAATTAGTGTGGAAAAGCATGCAGTAATTATATTGATTGCAACATTACTTTCACTTGGACAAATTGCTCTGCTTCAAAAACACATGGACAAACAGAACCCAGTTGCTTAGGAACCACTTATACCTAATGAGACAGGTGTGCTGGTAGCAACTGAGGCAGCAGCAGCCCCTGCTGTGTTTGGTGGGGGAGTGCCGGGTGGAGTCGTCTCTATTCCACTCTCTTCCATCATTTTCCTTCAGCTACACCAAGCTGCAGAGAAAGAAAAATCTATATTAAGAAATGGAAAATCAAAACATTTCAAAATACAAAAATATAGTCATACTTCTGATCTAGGACCCCAAACTCAGGACCCGCTACTTCCAATTCCAGCTATAAAAATGAGATTTGAACAGCCTTAGTTTACCCAATCTGCATCAGCTCCACTTACCTTCCTTTTTCAGTAGAATGCTACTTCCCTAACTTGTACTATTGAGACAACATTTTGACACCTTTCTCTAAAATCCTTATTGCACTAGGTCATGTATGCAACACTGTTCATCCAAGGATACCAAAACATTTTTGAAAAATTAAGCAAATCTTACCAAGTCCACATATGGTAACTTTTTATCATAAGATAAACTAAACTAAAGGATTCAAATTGAGCACTCATTTCCCAAACATTTCTGCATATCACAAGGTATTCATTTCAACAGAAGCTATAGTGCTAAGCAGCTCTGAAAAAAATGTAGCCTTAGTGACTTGTTTATGGTCAACTCTCCATCCCTCCCCTCCAAAACCCCCCACATACACATTAAGGACATGGTGGGGAACAAAACCTTTGTACCTTGACTTCTCTATCTTAGAGGGTCATAGTGGCAGAGGTGCCTTGCTATAGCACCACAGATGAGCGTGCAAAACTTGCTCCAGACTTTTGCTGTACATGGGTACCTGATGATTCAGACGAAGGAGTCAAAAAGTGGTCATATGCAGTGCTAGGTATGTCACTCCCTTATGTGGTTAGCTAGAAAACTAGAGTAAGACAGACTATCGTATTGTGCCTTTGTTAGAGAACTTATGTTCTGTAACAATGAACTACATGGATTTTTCAATTTATTTAGTTACTTAAATACAAATGCACAGTTTTTTTTAATTGGTTTCAAACAAGCACACCACCGCACACTTGAAATGATTTGCTGCATTAGTTTAAGCAAAAATTAGACCAATTTTGCTGTATTTCCACAAGGGAGTTAACCTTGGTGTAAACGGATGGTTTTCATATTGATTTTGCTAGTCTAATTCAAATTTTCTTACATAGACAAGTCCTCTGAGGCCTAACTACCTTAATAATCTAGTAAGAGAACAGCAGAGATCAATACTGAAAGAAAACTGCAGGCCTTCTTTCACTGCCAGCATCAGTGTAACAGGAGCGTCTCACCAGTCTAACAGCCTTCAGAAAAACAAAATGAGATCCTTGATTAATCAAGAGGACCAGGAAAAGGATGTTCGTGCATTTCCGATTTGCATTCTATAGCATACAGGTAACCTTAAAAAAAATGAACAAACCTGTCTTTGCATAAGTTGGGTAAACCACACAGCAATAATTAGCTCACTGGAAAAACATTTCCTAAGGGAATTGTAATGAAATACAAATCCCATATGAACTAATTACATATATATGGGAAATATGTAGTTTTGATAAGCATTTTCCACAATATCCATTGCATCAGAAGCTATTTAGCTCTGCCAACATATTCCTCTAACAAGGCATGCTGGGAAGGGCCTAGAGCTCTTCCTGGAGAAGAATAATACCTACATCTATAAAAAGACCTCCGCTTACAAAGTGACACGTTCTTTTCATGTTAGCAAAAAGTTGCGTTCCATGTAAAGTGCTTGTCTATATAGTTACTGAATTAATTCTGAAAAGGGTTCACACGTTCTCATCATCAAATTGAAGGCAAAAAAGGGAAAAGTAGGTGTGTCGTACAATCCAGAGAACAAGGAATAAGTGGGAAACTCGCAACAGAATTCTGTGACCCTGACTCAACTGTTTTGTATGTACAGTATTGTAGCATTTAACTTTTACACTCGAGGCTCCTGCAAGTACAGAACTGTCAACCATACCTGTTTTAAAAAAAGAGAGCTAAAATATAAAATCAAAGCTTTAAAATTATTAACTAAAACTATCCTGGGATTTTAAGTCTGCCCCCCAGAGGCTCAGCAATGCTTAGAAGTACTCAAGAAATTTTTTTAAAGTTTTCAACTTGAAGTGATTTTCTCCTCATGGGCTACATGGTGTGAAGGGAAGAAGTCTCCTTACATTCTCTTAGTGCTCATATATTTGGGCAATATTCTATCCCACTCCAACCCACCCTCATTGCTAGCTTGTATCCATCTCCTCCCTGTTCCAGTTCTCTTCCCTTCTATGCTGCCACAGTCTGCACCCATATGTTGCTGTGGCTCCCTTCTGTTTCCTACCCTTCACATTTTTTTTTGGCTAGCAAACTATTCCCCACACCCAGTAACTGTAGTGCTCCCCTGTGTTACTTTATGCCGTTCTGAATGAGGGAAACTTGAGCTTCAAGGCAAAAAGTCGTAACTTCTTGAGAAATTTAGACACCCACTCAATACCAGGAGGTGTTCTATAAAGTCATAATTTAGCAATGCTACTGGTAAAACATACTACATATGCAACATTTTCCACTCATTTAATCTACTGTTTGTGTTTATATGCTATTTGCATGTGTGTAAACATGCAAGGAGCAAGGCAGTAGAGAAAAAAACGAAATATATTACTGTAAAGGATAAATGGAGAGGACAGAAGAAAGTAATTGAGAGCTGAAGCCTTCCTTTTCATAAAATGTCCACTATTATAAATAGCATTTACACCCAAAGCTACAGCAAACTTTTAAGTCCCTCAAGCCGTGGTAGGCTCCCAAATCCAGTCATTTTTGGTAGTAGTAGGCAACCACTGATCCTTCTGAATCACGGTGTATGTGTGGAGGTCACCAGGACCTTTGACGCATAAGCCTAGGCAGGATTATGGAGGAGTGGAGGCTCCTAAAACTGTCCAACCCCACTTTAAACCATTGAGATAGAATCCAAAGACCAGACCGAGTCCGGACATTCGGTGCCTCAATGGCTGTTGTTATGTGTGTGCCTGGGAATCAAACTCAGGGTCCCCCACATGGCAGACAAGGAGTCTACCACTGAACCTCAACAGCAAAATCATTTTTGATAAATTAAAGGGGGTAAAAAAAACTTAGTGGTTCAAGTGTTACTCCAAATGTTATTGGGACCAGGCTACAAACACTTCACCTCAACTGGCTCAGATCCCAATATGCTTTTGTCCATTCAGCCTATCTTCACTTTTTCTAAAGTGCTTTGTCTACAGAAAAACTTCATTCTCACTTTTCCAATCCACAAGCCCATGACTCAAAGCAAGTATCCCTTAAAGTTTAAACTCTGCTTCGCAGCAAAGGTTTACTTAGACATGCTTATAAGACAGCCATAATGAGGCTCTCCCCCTAAGGAGAAGACATACTGCATAATATTGTTTACTACAAATAAAAGTGTCATCTGTCCAAATAAATCAACAATGAACTGTGATACTGTATCTGTTTACTTGCAAGGAACTAAAAAACATGGATTATCCAGTGGTCAGTGCAATTGAGAAAATTGTACCCTAGATAATGCTTCTGGACACCTATTGCTGCTTTACTTCACTTAAATGAATAAAAGTGCCTGGCTCCAGGATTTTGCCATAGCTACAAAGGAAATGTAACAAAATAAGTTAATAGCAAGGCTGTAGCACTGCTGCATCCCTGATAGCTCAGTGCTTTACTTGAATCTCTGCACACTCCCACAGCAAACCCAGCACATGCCTAAAAGTGTGCATTAGTTGGACCGGGGTCGCCCAATGTCTGTATAAATCAGTCACTTTAATGGGGCTTTTTGGTGCTTTTATCCAATAGCTGATTGAATCAGCTATTAGATAAAAGCACCAAAAAGCCCCATTGAAGCACCCAATCTAAACAGACGCTGCAGAGCCAGGTTGAACTAGCGCACTGCTCCTTCCAATAAAGCGCTTATTTTTCCCTTCGTGTCTGTCAGCAGCTGAAGTGCCTTTCCTTAGATCTGGAGGGTCTGACAGAGCCTAAACTGAATCCCGGGTAAAGACCATGGCTTTTGTTTAACTTCATTTTGTAAATGAAAAGTCACTGTGTTTTTGGCTTGTCTAACACCTCTTTCCAACTATACAGCTAATCTTACTAAAACAAACCTCACTTAACAAAACAAAAACACAAACAAGGCCACCCCTCGTTCCAACCAAATGCAAAAAGTACAAAGTTCAAGAGAGACATTCTGTGCAACTAACCCAAAACTCGTAGCACTGCTTCCATCTAGTGGTCAGCAACTATGAGTTCACTTCATGAAAATTGCCAGTGCTGATTATAAGACCAGTCTTAAATGCATTCTGCATACTCACATTAGAAGAAGGTACATAGAAAATAGGTAAAAGTATCTCTGTAAGAAGTAATGTATTACTAACGCTTTTCTCTCTGGCATTGTGTACTCTTAAGAATCCTAAGAATCTCTCACTAAAAAATTGGAGCCCTAGTACAGTCAGGTTTTTTAAGTAGAGTTAGATAAAGTGGTAAAAAACCCTCACTCACAAGAGCAGTGCCATTGGCGTTCAGGGCCTAGAATCCCTCTGCCACTTCAAGCTTTTTCTTTTGTTCCCTCATCACACTCAGGCCTGGATAACAAAGGAGGCATATGTTTCTGGGCACGCTCTCAGCAACACACACGATGAATCGTAGAAAAATCTGCAACAAAAAATATTACTTGGAGAAAAGCAAAGAAGAAAGGATTTAAAAAAAAAAAAAAAAAAAAGGAGAAGAAAGAAACCCAAAAAAAGCCCAGAAAAAATTCCAAAAAAAAAAAAAAAAAAAAAAAATCAATGAAAGAGACAGCTGCTGTCAGAAGTGGCATGATATCAGCCGGCTAAGCAAAGAAGTGACAGAAGTGACATCTTATGCAAAAGTCTGGGTACTATTACTTAGTTTTCAAAAACCACCTGACAAGCTACACGAGAGGGATTGGCTCCAATCTACAACTGACCAGAATGAACAGGAGGCACAGATCCTGAAGCTTGCTGCACAGAAAGATCCTCACAGCTCCATTACTCTACAGTGCTCCACATAGGCATAAAGAAACCATTTCCACAGAGTCAGTTGAACGACTGAGTACTAAACTGTCCAAACCCCTAAAGAGTATTGAAAGAGAGAAGAAACTCAACAGTCTTTCCATTGTCAGTCCTGTGCTTGCTCTTTGCAGAGCCACAGCTGTTTGGATAGGGTAGGATATAAATCTAATAAGCAGCCTATTTTATCAGACACCATGCACTGAATAAGGCCATAAGAGTCTTGCATAAGTCACAGTGAAATCCGTGCACCAATTGTACTTCAAGTTCCAAACCTTCAATTTTTAGCAGAAGCTTCAGCAAACACACTTCAGGCTAAATAAACAAAAAGTGAATGCCTCAATTCCAGAAGTCTGTAGCCAGGGGGAAGCAGCAGCCCGACCTGGAAAGCAGGCTAACACTTCCTGAACAAATACCCCAACCACTGAGCAAAGAGATAATAGGGGCAGTAGCATTACCATTTTCTCTCCAAACCTCATCCAGTTTTGGTTCCCCCACTTCATTAAAGACATGGACGGATCGGAAAGAGATCAGCAAAGAGCAACAAAAGCGATTAGAAGCCTGGGAAGCAAGACTGCTGAGGAAAGTCTGAAAGAATCCCACAACTGTCGACGCTGACTTGGTGCAGAGTCACCTGGATGGACTGGCTGTGTTCAAGTCAGCAAGCCCGGATGAGCTGTACCTGAGGGTACTTAAGGAATTGGCCAGTGTCATAGCAGAACCACTGGCACGGCTGTTTGAGCACTCATGGTGCTCTGGTCAGGTCCCGGAGGACTGGAAAAGGGCCAGTGTGGTCCCTATTTTCAAGAAGGGGAGGAAGGAGGATCCAAGTAATTACAGGTCAGTTAGTCTCACCTCCACCCTTGGAAAGGTCTTTGAAAAGATTATGAAGGATCGTATCTGTGGGAGTCCAGCGAGAAAAATAATGCAGCAGGGCAACCAGGATGGATTCGTAGCAGGTAGATCATGCCTGACCAATCTGGTTTCCTTTTATGACAGGGTCACAAAATGCTTAGATGCAGGAGTAGAGGTAGATGTAATTTTCTTGGATTTTAGCAAAGCCTTCAATACAGTATCTCATATCATTCTCATAAATGAGAGGCTGTGATATAGATGTTTACACAGTCCAGTGGATGGCAAATTGGCTTATCGGCCACACCCAGAGAGTGGTAGTAGATGGGTCGGTATTGACCTGGAAGGATGCGAGTAGTGGGGTCCCCGCAGGGTTCGGTCCTTGGACCTGTACTCTTCAATATCTTCATCAGTGACTTGGATGTGGGTGTGACGTGTACTCTGTTCAAGTTTGCGGACGATACTAAATTGTGAAGTGCACACTCCAGAGGGTAAGGAACGATTGCAGACAGACCTGGACAGGTTAGAAAAGTGGGCAGGACACAATAGGATGCAGTACAACAAGGAAAAGTGCAGAGTGCTGCACCTATGGTGCAAAAATATCCAGCACACCTACCAGCTGCGAAGTGACCCTCTCAGAAACTCAGAAGCGGAAAGGGATCTTGGAGTCATAGTGAACTCCAAGATGAACATGAGTCGTCAGTGTGACAAAATCATCAGCAAAGCTAACCACACTTTTATCGTGCATCAGCAGATGCATGACAAATAGACCCAAGGAGGTGATACTTCCTCTCTTTGCGACATTGGTCAGACCGCATTTGGAGTACTGCGTCCAGTTTTGGGCACCTTTCTTCAAGAAGGATGTTGACAGACTCAAGACGGTTCAGAGAAGGGCCACTTCAGTGTGACAAAATCATCAGCAAAGCTAACCACACTTTTATCGTGCATCAGCAGATGCATGACAAATAGACCCAAGGAGGTGATACTTCCTCTCTTTGCGACATTGGTCAGACCGCATTTGGAGTACTGCGTCCAGTTTTGGGCACCTTTCTTCAAGAAGGATGTTGACAGACTCAAGACGGTTCAGAGAAGGGCCACTTCTACGGTCAGGGGCTTACAGGACAAGCCCTATGAGGAGAGACTGAGGGACCTGGGCCTCTTCAGCCTCCACAAGAGAAGGCCAAGGGGTGATCTTGTGGTCACCTACAAATTCATTAGAAGGATGCAGCAAGGGATCGGAGAGCTCTGTTCACCAGGGCACCTCTTGGGGTACCAAATAACAATGGTCACAAACCGACAGAGAGTAGGTTTAGGCTAGATATCAGGAAAAACTTCTTCATGGTAAGGGTGGCCAATATTTGGAATGGGCTTCCAAGGGAGGTGGTGCTCTCCCCTACCTTAGGGGTCTTTAAGAGAAGGCTGGATAGGCATCTGGCTGGGGTCATCTGACCCCA